TGTCATTATAGCTTTCGACGCTGCGAAAGTATGCGACGATAGTGATGCACTCTCTGGTTTTGGTTTGTCAGCGAGTGCGGCTATAGCGGAAGTGAGCTCCGATATAAATGGTCGGAGCCCTCTGTCTTCATTAATGGCAGGTGCCTGGTTAGTTTTCTTTGGCATGGGATTCTTCGGTACATCTTCCGGATAGGGATCCTGGTAGGTGAGCTCTGATACAATTGGTAGGAGCCCCCTGTCAAATCAACCTTCGAATCCTGGTTTGTGAGCTTCTTTTGCGGCTCACTGAGGTCGACAACCTCCGGGGGTGGCTTTGTGATGGTTTTGTTTAGTGGGGCCTCCCCTCCGGTGGTGGCGCCTTGAGTTGGCTTTTGCTTGGCTACGGAATTTTCGAGCCAAGATCGGACGTACTCGCTTTTGGAGTGACCATCTTCATCATAGTCGTCCGATTCATCTTCTTCTTCAGCCATCTGTAAGGAGATCTGTGCGAGTTCCAATTTGATTCTCAACACTTCTTCACGAGCCTTCAAAACTTTTTTATTGGGCCGAATAGCTTTCTTTGACTTTGTACTTCTATCGGGGTGGCCCCTCGGTGGCTCTTCGGCGCGGGTATCTTCCCGGGCTGTTGGCGGTGATGCACAGCGAATGTCATCGTTGCCTTCTATTTGTGCCTCTGCTTCGGTGTACCGGTTGTAGTGGCCCGCACGGGCAGGAGTACCCCCCCATCGCGGGGGCATGGTGGCGGACGGCGTCGGTATTGTCCGACGGGCCTCCTTCCAGACCGACGGTCCACGCCAATGCTCCCCTTCCTTGCGAACGAGTGATCGGCATCTTGATTCTGAAAATTCTGCAACTTTAATACGGTAGTGACTATGTATCCGGTTCCGAAATACAAACGGATTATATATCCGGCTCGAAGGACCAGCGAATGTGCCGGACGGGCGTAACTCTCCGGAGTAAATGTTGTCGAAGATACTCCGCGAGCCGCTCATGTCCTACACCTATAGGTTCCGGAGGATACTTTCACTGCCGTCTCTGTGGGTGCTGCTGGAAAACTGTGGACTGAGGTTCAAAATTAAAATGCACGATTTATAAATTAAAATAGCAAGGGAGTGGCCAGCGGTTCGACTGATTAATTAGTCGCGAAATTTTATAACTATTATTTATTGACCACGGTTGTTGAACACGGTTGTTCAACTACGGTTGTTCACTTCGGTTGGTCACTATATATTTCAAAAGATTCAATTAAAATGTGCGGTAGTATTAAAATATCTATTGGTAATATCAAATATCTATTGGTAGTACCTAAATATCTATTGGTAGTATCAAAATATCTATTGGTAGTATCAAATATCTATTGGTAGTATCAAAATATCTATTGGTAATATCAAATATCTATTGGTAGTAGCTGGTTTTCGACTATGTGTAACTTCGCTTTTCAGTTACGACCTTTTTCGGCTAGCTAAACTTTTTCTAATTCACTATTATTGTTCACTATGTTCTGCTACTAGTCTTTACAGCTACTACAGGATACTACTGCTTGTCACTGGTAGTTCTTCCTACTACCACGTTACTGGGATTCGCCCCCATAAGGTAGACTTCGGCTATACTGTATAGTGAGCCGCTTGCCATTTTCCGTTTTGCCTCTTTATTTTTAAACATTTTCATTATGAAATTAGCACAAATCGCAATATTTTATATACAAGGCTAATTTTTATACTAACACGCTATACATCATTAAATAGGCATTTTGGTCCTTTATCAGTATGTGATAAAGGTTACTCAATATATTTACATTTAAAAAAGTTATTAAATGAAATGTCCCAAATTTTCACAACAAATGGGTATATTAATTCTTTAATTTTTCTATATTTATCAAATGCCTCTATATATACAAATTATTTCTTTACTATCGTAATCTATATATCATATGCTAACTAAATATCATATTTACAACTCTTAGAACACAAAAATATTCTCATTATTTTCAATACAAACTATTGCGCAGTTAATTAAACTTCCAGAAAGTTCTACGATATGATGCGCTGTGATTGGTCGAACTTTTCTTAAACGCTTAAAGTTGTTTATATCAACTATTATTAAAACGACATTCTATACAAATATATTAAGAGTTGTAAACACATTGTAAAACTATTTTAATTTCACTTTTTATACAAAACAATATTCTTTCATCACTTTTTTCTTAAAGTCTTTAGGCCGTCGCGAACAGTCTCCAATGACTAGTAGGGTCTTATCTGCTTGTTCTTGCGCTTTTTATTAATCCATGTAGAAACTTTCAATTTCTTCCTCACTAGAGCTCTCAGTGGGGGCGTAAACTTGAATAATAGACAGTGATACCTTGTTGAAGCTCATTTTTAACAAAGCGACTCTTTCTGATATGCCTACGAAGCTCACGATATTTTGTTTCAATGTTTTCTTTATTAAGAAACCTACGCCATGGAGTCCCAATGTCTCGCCAATATAACAGAAAATATAATTGTTATGTTCTTCTATACTGTACCCTAATCGTTTAACTTCGGCGAGTCCTATGATGTCCCAATTAATTTTGACTATTGCATTTTCTAATTCTAATAATCTTGTCATTGATGATAGTGATCTTACGTTATAGGTGCATATTTTCAAGTTGTGTAGTTATTTCGATTCACATTTTAGATTTTCAGATTTTCTGCTCTTATAATTATTGGTATTGGTTTTATTCAATGGAGGGTTGTGGTCTTCTTCCCCCACGGTGACCAGCCGGCTTGGGGTGCTGATTGTTTTTATTTTATTTTGTTGCATTGTTTGATTTCTCTCATCCGGATTCCAGTTGAGGGAAGCAGTTATTAGTTTTTTGAAGTTTTAGGCTCAGACATCGATGATGCTTTACCTCGTGCCGCATAATTGAGTATGCTTGGTATTACTATTCCTGAGTATTATTTGTAGATAGCTCATTAGTACGTTTGTCAGTAATCTGTTTCTTCTTGGTGTTTTGTGCCATTGTTTCTGGTGATTCTACCTTTTCTCTTTTCCTTTTCTCACGGTTAGAATCTTTTAAGTTTTTTACTACTAACTTATCGCATTTCAGAAATGCTAAATTTCCCTTCTTTTTTTCTTCTTCCAGCAGGTTGGAGTTTTTTGCGAGTTTCTAGAACCTCTTTAGGAAAGTCTTCTTTAATATAGATGCTTTTAGGTAGGTTAGATTTGTTCTTCTGAATAAGATGTTTTTTCCATGTTGTTGTTAATGAGACCACTACCGATCGATTTTTATTTGAACGTTGCCCAATTCTATAGACTTTGGATGTCTCTTGACTGTCCAGGTGTACGCCCATCTCCACTATGATTTCTTTCAAATAGTCTACTAATTCACATTCTGTTTTCTGTTTCTCTTCTATGCCGAAAACTACTAGATTGTTCTTTTTCTTTTCCTTTTCCATGGATTCTATTTTCTGTTCAAGGTTTGTTATTTTCGTTTTTAAGGTTCTGTTTTCTTCCAAGAGTGTTTTCAGTTTTTCATCGAGTGCTTGCATGACATTATTGGTGACATTGGCGGTTATTGTCAAAGTTTGTTGGTTCAGTTTCTCGTCCAGTTTAGCTAGCAGCAATTCTATACTTTGATCCATATTTATTTTGGTATAATTTAGAATTAATTATTATTATCTTGTAATAGGCGAGCAGCTTATAGCTGATATGCCTATATCTGTGTTGATGTTTTATATTAGTCCAAGTTCACACTAAATCGACATGTGTTTCATTAAGTTACGCCTGGTTATTGCGGTGGGCCCATTCTCCATACAAAAATAAATTGTCTCCTTTAATAAATTAAGTTTAGTTTTTTTTTACATTCTAGTTTACTGGGTATTATTTTTGTTACTTATTCTAGTACATGTTGTAATCAGCTTTACGTGGTAGAGCCACGCTGCAGCTATATTATGGTTATAATACGAATGGATCGGCTCGACCGGGGTAGAACCTTGCTCTCACAGAATATCAGCGTAAAATAGCAGCCTATTGCTGCTGTTTCATGTGGTGAGTGTAGAGAATCTGAGATCCTTTTTAATCGAAACAATTCATTCCATCTTAGTCCTCAGGGGAAACAACACATCTGCATTACTGTATCTTTTTTTTTTTTTTTTTATAGTAGAGGGGGCAAACGAGCATGCGGATCACCTGATGGGAAGTGACTACCGCCGCCCATGAACAACCGCAACACACAATTGCAGATGCGTTGCCGACCTTTTAAAAAGGAGTAGGCTCTTTTCTTGAAGGTCCCTAAGTCGTATCGGTCCGGAAAAATCGCTGGTGGTAAACTATTCCACAAGGAAGTTGTGCGAGGAAGAAAACATCTTCTAAATCGCACAGTGATGGACCGCCAATTATCCAGATAGTGCGGATGGTATCGGGAGTTCTGCCGCGATGTGCGTTTGTGAAATTTGGCGGCTGAGATTAATCCGAACAATTTCTCAGAGTACTCCCATGGTAAATGCGAAAGAAAATGCAAAGAGATGCAACATCTCTTCGCAGCTTCAATGAATCGAGCCGATCGGAAAGGACTCAGTCGTCGACGATTCGAGCCGCTCTGCGCTGGATGCGGTCAAGTGGAAGGAGCTGGCAATGGGGAGCCCCAACCCAGAGATGGGAACAGTATTCCATGTGTGGCCGAACCTGCGCCTTGTAAAGTTGCAGGCGTTGTGTCTGCATGAAAAACTGTCCCGCTCTGCTGAGTACGCCAAGCTTTTTAGAGGCCAATTTGGCCTTCTCTTCCAAGTGACCACGAAACTGCACGTCACTCGATATGTCGATATGTCGACGCCGAGGATTCCGATACTGGCTGAGGGAACAAGGGGAGTGCCTTGAAACTGAGGAGATACGACAAAGGGGTTCTTTTTAGCGGTAAATGCGCAAACTTGTGTCTTCTGAGGATTAAACTGGATTAGATTAGAAATTAAATTAAAAATCATTAGTAGTGTGACTTTACATTAAGCCTTGTCAACAGGGTGGTGATGTCGGGCATGGCGGCGGTGGGGCCGAGTCCAGCTGGGGGGGCGGCCGCACTAGGGGGCCTGGGCGGCTCCTTAGAGGACAAGGACTGCGACCTGCTCTGCCCCGTCTGCTTCGAGCTGATCGACGAGGCCTACGTCACGCGATGCGGTCACTCCTTCTGTTACTCTTGCATCGGGGAATCAGTGGAGCTCCACCGCCGCTGTCCGAAGTGCGGGGCCGCGCTAGTCTCCCGCGACCACATCTTCCCCAATTTCCTCCTCAACGAGCTGGTGGCGAGGAGGAGGCTGATGCTACGGGCACCGGCGCCGCAACAGAATGCCGTCGGTGCTGGAGATGCGGACAGGCTGCGCGCTCTCCTTGCGACGGAGGCCAGGCACCTGGCGCTGGCGGATGTGGACGGGATGCTTGACGTGCTGACGCGACGCTAGACGCTCCTGGAGGCGGAGTCCGCAGCAGCCCAGCACCGGCTGCTGTACGAGTTCCTGGCGCATTTGTTGCGGCTGAGGCATCACCAGTTCGATCAGCTGACGCGAGAGGCCGCGCTCGTTAGGAAGGTAAACTTTGAATTTTTTAGAATACTTTTTTTGTAGAGTTATGGCGACAAGCACACAGTGATAATTGATTAAGAATCAAGATGTAAATGTGTTGTCATCACCGAGGGCTATAATGGAGTGCCTCATTTCCAGTATTTTTCTTTTACACACAGTGCACCTGATGGTAAGTGGATGCTGTGGCCCATGGACATCTACATTTACCCTCGATTAAGAATCGTAATGCAGATGCGTTGTCACTCCTGAGAACTGGATGCCTCGTTTCCAGTAAAAAGGGTCTCCGGTTCGTCTACACTTCATATATGAAACACAGCAACATTAAGCTGGTATTCTGTGAGAGCGTGGTCCTTCCCCGGTCGAGCCGACCCAGGCGTGCTACATCTATACTACTAATATAGCTGCAGCATAGCTCTACCACGTATAAAAAGTGTTTCGGCGCCGGCTTTCTTCACACATATAAACTTCAAAGATAATAGCGAAATATAGCGTTATTGTGAATGTCTCTACAATTAAGGCTTACAACTGATTTTACTAAACACAGCCACTAAACAGAATTGGACACTACTTACACTACACACCTGCACTAATCACCCGCAATTACTAATCACCTGTACTCGCACTAATCAAAGTGAAAACAGGCCTTAACGAATTCTCCGATACTTTAGCTATAGAGTGATGTAGATGATGGTTGTAGCTGCAACAACAAACTGTGTCCCTCGATTTTGTTATCATCAGTTTTCTGAATTACCTCCCACTGTGGAAGCAAATTTAAAGACGTATTCAATGCAAATTTATAGACACACTCAATCTACATGTTAAGTCTAAAGTTTTATTATGTTTTCCTAAAAGTAAAACAAATGGTGAAGTTAAAAATTTTACACAACCGACTTCAATATAAATTATTAAGGATATCTCTCAAAAACTACTGGTCAGAACTTAATCAAATTCACATTCACACAAGAAGCACCAGTTGAAATAAAAAAAAAAAAATCATCGAAATCGGTTCACGTAGAAAAAGTTATGAGTTAACACACATAAAAAAATACAGCCGAATTGAGTACCTCGTCTTTTTTGACGTCGGTTAAAAAAACAAGCTGCACCATACACCACACTATATACACCACATCCCAACAAGAGTCTGCTGAACAGTGTGATGGTGGCACAGGACATGGAGCAAGTGGGTGCAGTGCTTCGGGAGCTGCGAGCTGGCGCTGCCGACCTGGCGCCACACGGCACCGATCCGCTGCCTGATTTACCCACCGGTACGTACTCTATTTTTCTTTATAGGAGAGGGGACAAACGAGCATGCGGCTCATCTGATAGTAAGTGACTACCGCCGCCCATGAACAACCGCAAAGTTCTATGTTGTTCATGCATGATAATACCCTTGGGAATGAAGTGACCGCTACCAAGCTATTCTTAATTTATTGTGTAGTTAATTGTGTTACATTATATATGATTGTAAACTGTTCTTTTAAAATAATAATTTAAAAGAACAGTTAATAATAACTCAAAAACTATTGGTCAGACCTTGATCAAATTTATGTGGGACCACATGTGAAGCACCAGCTTTCAAATAAAAAAAGAATCATCGAAATCGGTTCACCAAGACAAAAGTTATGAGGTAACACACATAAAAAACACAGTCGAATTGAGTACCGTCTCCTTTTTGAAGTCGGAAGATAAATAGAATCAGGCGTTACTTTGCGGAAATCCATTATATTATATAAATATTAAAGATGTTAAAATTATTTCGCGAAGATCATCGTGACGAATATAAAAATGATGTCTTACCTAGTTTGAAGAACACCTTTCGCACTTCCTCGATTAGTTAAATAAGTTCTTCTTCAAATAAATTCACTTAGCGGTCAGCCATCGCCGAGTCTATTTCACTGTACGTAAAACACGTTGTAATGTGTCGTCTACTTCGCGCCTGGAGACCAGGTGGTGTTTTTTTTTTTTTATAAAAGTGGCTACCGCAGCTCATGAACAACCGCAACACCAGGGGAATTGCAGATGCGTTGCAGGCCTTTTGAAGGTCCCTAAGTCGTATCGGTTCAGAAAAATCGCTGGTGGTAATCGATTCCACAAGGAAGTTGTGCAAGGAAGAAAACTTCTAAATCGCACAGTGGTGGATCGGCAATCATCCAGATGGTATGGATGGTATCACGAGTTTTGTCGCGATTTGCAATGGTGAAACTGAGCGGCTGGAATTAGTCCGAACAATTCCTCAGAGCACTCCCCGTGATAGATGCGATAAAATACGCAAAGAGATGCAACATCTCTACGCAGTGCCAGTGAGTCAAGCCGATCGGAAAGAACTCGGTCGTTGACAATTCGAACCGCTCTGCGCTGGATGCGGTCAAGTGGAAGGAGCTGGCACTGGGGAGCCCCGGCTCAGAGATGGGAACAGTATTCCATGTGAGACCGAACCTGGCCCTTGTAAAGTTGTAAGCGGTGTGCCGGCATGAAATACTGTCCAGCTCTGCTGCTTTAAGCACGCCAAGATTTTTAGAGGCCAATTTGACCTTCTCTTCCAAGTGGCCACGAAACTGCACGTCACTTGATATGTCGACACCGAAGATTCCGATACTGGCTGAGGCAACAAGGTGAGTGCCTTGAAACTGAGGAGATACGACAAAGGGGTTCTTTTTAGCGGTAAACGCGCAAACTTGTGTCTTCTGGGGATTGAACTGGACTAGATTTAGTCGCCCCCAGTCTGAGATTTTGTTCAACAAAGTCTCGACTTCAGATACAAGCTTGTTCCGGTACTCGGCGACGTTTTCCCGAGAAATATTAACACGGCCTGTGTATAAAGCATCACCAGTGCTGTCATCTGCATAGCAATGAATGTTACTGGTTTGCAACATATCATTAATATGCAGAAGAAACAGCGTTGGTGATAGCTAGCAGCCTTGTGGAACATCAGCATTAATGGGCTTGTAATCGGAGCATGCACCATTTACTACGATCTTGGTGCTTCGATCTGCAAGAAAACTGGTGATCCAATTGCACAATTTCTCGGGAAGCCCATAAGAAGGCAGCTTCGAAAGAAGCGCTTTGTGCCAAACCCGATCGAAAGCCTTTGCTATGTCCAAACTAACGGCCAACGCCCATTTATGAGTTAGGTAACTTAAAAGATCACCAGCTGAGCGACCTCGACGGAAACCGTACTGGCGGTCACTAATCAGCTGGTGATCCTCAAGGTACAGCATGAGCTGGCTGTTAATAATGGTTTCCATTATTTTGAAGAACAAGGAGTTGATAGCGATAGGCCTGTAGATAGATAGATAGATAGAAAATTATTTATTGTCGGAAATTTACAATAGGAGATCCCACTTCTGATGTCGGAGATTACAATAGAGGATCGCAATTTTGATCTCTGAGATACATCAGGATAGCGTTAATTGTTAAAAATAATAAAAGTGTGAGAGCGGATGTTCAACTTGCTCTCTTGCTTACGCAGTTAATCATTATCAGTAATAAGACAGCGTAACGCAGTATACATCCAGTATAGTGAAATTACAGTTCGACCACACCGTAACACGTCTCCGCCACAATCACACACCAGTGTAACGTGAGGTACGTAATTACATGATAACACCAAAATATGTAAACCAACAGCAACACTACTTATCTCAATTTAACACAGGACAGCCTCTCAGCAACACCAATCCTCCTTGCCTGCACTAGAAGAATCACAACACTATCTTAGCACTAAGTAGAATGACCACACTCCGTTGAATGACTGAAGCGGACTCTCGCGCACGGCACCTACAGTGAACTTTATACTACAGACACAAGAGGGGGTTTCCCGATCTACTGTTTTCTTTTTAGTCAGAGTTTTAGCTAGAGTGAGTGTAGAGGCGTCTACGTCGAGATTCAAGATAATTTGAGTCTTATTTTCAAAAAAAGTCCCGCTGGGTTTCTTGCTGGTTCTTCCCAGAACAGAGGTTTTTTTTTACGAACCAGTGGTAAATTGAACAAAAGAGTGTGTTTCCGCTAAATGTTAATTTTTAAAACTGCATTACGAGCGCTCGCGTCCATGGTAACAGGGGTCGCTGCCGGGCCTCTCTTCCCCGCGCGCGTTCCCCCGCTCACGCCCGATCACCTGATGTGGCTATTAACGGGACTGGTTTTGCCGAGGCGTCGAGCGCCACGACAGTAGCTCGACGCGCGGGCCATCGTATAGTATGGGTTTGCGACCGCTTTAGATTTTTTGACGGTCTAGAATTTGAGTAAATTGTGCGCGCCTAATTTACTATTGAATATTTGGGTCTCGTGTAGACCGCCTCGAATTGATTTGTCTGAATAGTACGTTTCGTGACGGGAGGCTTGTATTGGGTTTGAATTATTAACTTAATTTTGATTGACGTTAATTTGATTCGACTAGTTGCTTTGTGGCATTTAATATCGTACGAAAGAATTTGGCTTGTTCGGGAGAACGCTGAACTTTGTGACTCAAGAAGAGACCGCGTTCGTTCTCGTGTTTGTAATTCTGTGCTGAGTGAACCCGGAACTTTGAATATTGAATTTTGACCTACTGTTCGTTACTTGTGTCGAGTGTCTCTTGTTTTAATTCCAATGAACGTTGATTTGGTTGACTTTGAAGTTAATTAAATGTACAATAAAGTTGATAAACTAATACAGTGAAGTGAAAGCAGAAGCTTTCAATTGGTGATCGCCCCCCTTGAGAGATCTCACTTTTGGAGAGAAGCAGCGCTTGTGGATCTGCGGTCCTTTTTCAACGGGTAAGTCAGGTTACATTGTACACACTACTGCACACTAATTACATGCACATCACTAACCACCTGACTGGTACCCTGTGGTCAACCCTACCTCCGGAAATCGGTAAGTTGAGCTTGCTTATTTGTCAG